ACTATATATATATATATATATATATATATATATATATATCTTATTGTTATAAAAGACACGTCTTTTTATGTATTTGGATTGAATTTTCCTTCGTTCCAAATCTACTGTTAAGACAGATAATAATATATATCGGCCATTATGTGAAGTGCTGATGGTAAAGGTCAAAATAAGTTTGTCAAACAGGAAATCTTCTGACTTTATTGACCAAATAATTAACGTGACGTAGGTTGAAAATCAGATGTCAATGAAATTATTTTTGATAACGTTAAACTTCTGAAGTAAATATATCTCTTTTTGGTATTGTAGTTTCTTTCCGTAACTTTTGTTTTTGGTAGCGTGGAAATCTAATATATTGATTATATCTGTATTTTCTTGCGATATGCTCGCCGTTTTTCGTATTTTTGCTTTTGAAAGTGTCCAAGTGATGTGATTATTATTATTATTATTTTTATTATTATTATTATTATTATTATTATTATTATTATTATTATGTGTTAAATCTCTTCGATTATGGTTGTATAGTACCATTCTAATAGTTTGTTATCTACCATCTCGCTTTCAGGACATAAGTGTACATCATATGTGGTCCACATGAGCCCTGATTTAAAAAAAAAAATGTGGTAAACTGAGGACGCTTAAGAAAACAAAAAACACAAGACGCTTGACTGATAATCTAAATGAAAGTCATTTATTTTTCCAAATTATTGAAATAATTATAAAGTTTGATTCACCGAGAGCAATGTAAATAACTTATGATTTATACGTTCTGTCTATCACATGGGACGCACAGGTTTTTACTATATGAAGCACTATATTAGGTTGCAAAAGTAATGTGCGATTTCAAGTTCTACATTTAAAATTTAAAAATCCCATGATTATGGAAAATATTTATTAGGTAACATGACCTCCTTTGCTTTCTAGAACAGCATTCCATCCGTCAAAAAACTTGTAAATGCCATGCCTGTAAATTTCGATAGGTTTTGAAGTAAAATATTAATTCCATCTCATTTTCAGCCACTTCTTTTGATGTCAACCTAAGTCCGTCCAAATGATTCTATAGTCCTCGAAACAATTGATAATCAGAAGAAACAAGCTCAGTACTACATGATGGATAAATCTCTCTCCCAAAAAGATTTTATTTCAAAAGAGCTGTGTGAGGAAGAGCATTATCGAATTATTTCTGTTCACTGAGGATGGTCGCTTTTGATTTAAAGCTGTTTTCAAACGTCGAAGTTGATCACAGTATAGATTATGTTGAAACTTGACTAATGCATGGAATAATAATGCAACACAAAATGTACTTAGAACAAAATGTATTGAAACAAGAAAGTGTACACAATATTTACATATAGTCTTTTGTATATTCCTGGGAAAACCGTTCCTGGAGAATGTGTTGACTTAGTCGCAGTCTGGCAGAGTCTCTGGATTGAATCTCTTGATTCCTCCACTCTCTTCCCGGTACCAACCATATTTATATGGTCGGTACTCCACTATGCAAATTAGGTGGATCCTACCACAACAGATTATCTGTAATTGTTTGATTGTTGTTTAATGGACAATTCCTTCATTATCTCACCATAGACTCAACATGATCTCCTTTGGATGAAGCCCCCCTTTTGGTTGTTGAACGTATCTTCCTCCTCGACTGATCTACGATCGGCTGCGTTTAACGTTATAGTAAAGGATTCAATTCTCATCACCTGTAACAAGGCTACCTAAAAATGGTGCCTGAGGGTGCCGTGAAATAGATGATTCCAAACAAACAACACGTTGTTGAAGATTCTCTGGAGACAGTTCTTGTGGGACCCATGTCCCAACCAGTGAAACCTTTCCGACCCTTTTTAATTTTCGTAGTACTGTTATATGGTCTACGTCAAAGTGTTCTGCTACTTTCCTAGATATAATGGTGTGATTGTCAGTAACAACAGCTTGCAACACTTTGGAATCAATATTTTTGGGACGACCCATTTTTGCTCGTCTTTCATACTGAAATCTCCACTTTGGAAACGGCAAAACCACTTCCTGCAAATTCCTTCATTCACTGCATCATCTCGATCAGCGTTCTGAATAGACTTTGCTGCTTCACTTGAATTGACACCTTTACGGAACTCATACAGTAAGATGTCGAATGTGATATTTAGATGGGACAAATATGGGTGCGGATATTACGGAAGATCATGAAATAGAAAGGTATAAATTGCTTATAGTGACAATCATTACTTATATCGAGAAGCATAAATTTCATAAATACTATCTAAAACATTCTCATCAAAAATCGGGCATAACTTTTGCACCAACCTGATATAATTGCCTCATCCCTATGTAAAAAAAGGCTAAAAATAATCGATAAATTGGTTTTATTAACAGATATATCCTTTCCATAATACGATAAATAAAGGACAATTTCTTTCAATATCCCACCATACGCTCAACATAATCTTCTTTGGATGAAGTCCTCCTCTTATTTGCTGAACTGATCCTATTCTTCGACAAATCCATGATCGGTGGCGTTTTACGTTATGGTAAAGTATCTACTTTTCATCACCTGCAACAAGCCTACTTAAAAATGGTGCCTGAAGGTGTCGTGAATGCAATCATTCACAACAAGCAACACGCCTTTGCGGATTTTCTGGAGACAGTTCGTGGGGAGACCCATTTCCCAACCACTGAAACATTTCCAATCCTTTTTAATTGTCGTAGCACGGTTGTATGGTGTACGTTAAATTCTTCTGCAAGTTCCCTAGATGTAATGGTGGTATTGTACGTGACAACAGATTCCAACGCTTCAGGATCAACCTATTTTGGACGACATTCTTTTTGCTCGTATTTCAAACTGCAATCTCTACTTCGGAAACGGGATAACCACCTCCTGCAATTTATTTGATTCATCGCATCATCTCCATCTGTGATCTGAATAGACTTTGCTGTTTGACTTGAATTGACACCTTTACGGAACTCGTACAGCAAGATATGTCGAATGTGATGTTTAGATCGAACGAACATGCATGCGAATATTGCTGAAGATCAGGAAAAATATATTTATAATCTGAATGAGAAAAGTATAAATTACTCATTACAACATTCCTGAATTAACTAAATGCGCAAGTTTCACGAATACAATCTAATGATTTTCTCCCTAAAAATCGGACATTACTTAAGCAATAGCCTGATATATAAGGACATTCGTTTTGCCAAATAAGCTGAGTTGCCATGCAAGTTACAAAAAGTCTCAAAACCTCTAGAACTTGTACAGTTTTTTCTTTGAACACATTGTAGTAATTTCCTCCTCTCTTGCCTTTCAGTAAAATATTATCTCAAAAATTTAAATGCAATGTCAACCGTTATCTGTTGTCTTCTTTGTGACTCTTTTATTGTTCTCTCTCCTTAATACGAATCCTGATTTTAAAAGAGCGGTAAATCTGAGGACTCTTAAGTAAAGTGTCTACTATTGAGCAGGACGTTTAAGGAAAGGCTTAATCTAATATATTGTACATCATATATGACCACAAGAAGTTTACCTGATTTTAGATTTATAATTGATATATAGTATTTCACTTAATAAAAACCTGGGCATCACATGCGTTGCAAAGAGCAGAGTGTAAATAGCCTATGATTTGTACTTTTTATTATGTGAAACATTATATATATATATATATATATATATATATATATATATATATATATATATATATATATATATATCAGGATATTCTATTTGCCAAATAGGCTGTTGCCTTGCAGGAGTTATAAATCTGAAAACAAATATACGTTTGAATAGTACACAGGAAAATGCCCTGGACAGATAAGGATCGCGAACAACAACAGAAGAAGTATAATAATAATAAAAAGACTGTAGATAACGATGATGTTATCTTCGGAAACGACTTAGCAGAAAATTCGGTCACGTGGGTATTATTCGTATTTTTTCTAATTGGTTTTCGCGTAGTCTTTTTAGACACTCGATACACCTACAATTCTGTGGCTGTCTACTCGATACTGTGCTCTTTAAATCATTCTTCCAATCTATTTTCTTTTTATTTACTATTTTCCTATGAGAAATATTTTTTTATTCATATCACCCCATGCAAGACAGTAAAGCCACTAAGATAGAAAACGTTACTGAGTGTAGGATAATAAGAAAAAAAAGGAAAAAACTATTACGAAGAGAGAACAGCATTATAGGAGGAATCCAGAACACAATAGATAACGATTGGCAATAAATATATTTCTTTGATGATCAAAAGTGGCGGGAAATCATGGAACCAGAAACGAGAAGTGTGAGAAAAGAAAACGTTAGCATAAAAATGAAGGTTACATCTAGCTAACGCAATTATGAATTAATGAAACATGATGTTGCCAATATAGTTTATAGTCTAATTACTATAGCGGTGAGTTCATCCCAACAGCTCCGGTGAAATTAGTTATAGAAAAGGCACAGGGAAGCTACATTATGAGAGTTGCAAAGTGACTGAAGCTTAGATGCCATATCAGGACCAATAATATTGTATTTTCTTTCAACAACTTCCAGTGCTAGCAAGTGTTGCCTTTGCCATAGGAAGTGCTCAATTGATATGGTGTTTGCTATTTGACAAAGTTCTTTGGGATATTAAAGCATCAATATATGCGGTCTGACGGAGAATCGTTTTCCTTAATTCGCTAGTAAACATTTTAAATCCGGGTTTTTGTTTAGAATTGATCTATATCACTCAAATGATTATTTCAAGAGTCATGCTATATTGAAAACAGTAGTATGAATTCGATTCTTCAAATCCGTTCATAGAAACCAACGCAATAGAGAAAAAGAACTTGGCTAAAAGTTTAAATACAGCTTGTTTAAATGTTTTTTTATTAATAAATCCAAATAGAAATATGTGTTTCTAGTTGAAATGGAGTTGCAGCACACCACGTCAAACTCATAAACTTCATTAAAAATTCAGGACGTGTCTGGAAGTAAAAAGGGAAAATCTTTAGTTCATATTGCGATATCGTATCGTCTTTTTATGATTAAATATTACTGGTTTGTTTCTTTGAGGGGTTGTTTTCGTTTTAACTCTTTCGTTCTGTGATATTTTCTTTCTTTTATTTGCATCATTTTATTTTTTCATATATATATATATATATATATATATATATATATATATATATATATATAACAAGATATAGAATCTGGTTTTCTTTGATATTTATTCTTTTTTATTTTTATTTTTTTATTCTTCTTTTTATTCTTTATTTTTATTTTTACTCTTAATTTTTTTTATTTTTATATTAATTTTTCATTTTTATTTATATATATATATATATATATATATATATATATATATATATATATATATATATATTATTTAAAATTGTAAAAATAAATAAATATGTTAAAATCAAAAAAATAGCTATTAATTAATTAATAATTTAATTAGGGTTTAATTAATTTGAACCTTTTAAAAGCCTTTATTCTACATTCAACATCACTTGATGAATTTTAAGCAAAATATCTATTTTTGTAGTGATTTTTATAATATATTTATGTTATAATTTTAAATAAAAAAATATATTTGCTCTACCTCTGTTGAGCACTCTTTTAAGAATAGTAATTGTTGGTTATTGGAATTTATTCCGTATACCCAATCCTTTTATATATATATATATATATATATATATATATATATATATATATATATATATATATATATATATTTATATATGTATGAAATACTATTGTCTCCATGATATATTCCATTGGAATCGTAAATACGATCTAATTTTGTATTTACGATTCCAATGGAATATATTATGACCATGGAATATTAGTGTTTCAGCCTTTTTATTATATAAATATATATATATATATATATATATATATATATATATATATATATATATATATATATATACACACACACACACACACACACACACACACACACACACACACACACACACACACACATATATTGCTTTTTTCAATATTTTTTTTTATATTTTTATTTATTTACTTATTTTTTGCTGCCATTCTTTGGTTCAGGGTTGGGTTACTGTAGACTGTTCATTTTGTCTCTCCTTCCATTTCTTTTGTTACTTTGCAGATATAACTCCCTTTCTTTTACTCCGCAGTTATTTCATTCATTTTCCTTTTAATTATTGTTCATTATTTATTTTTTTTTTTTTCCTATATATCGATTTATTCTTTGTTTTTTGTTTTTTTCTGACATTCATTTTCAAGTTTTACTGCCATATCACGTTGAAACACCAGTATGGCCACCCAAGTTAAGCAATATTGACAGTAGTCAGTAACTTGATGGGTGACCGTTTGTGTCTACCTGGTTCTATAAGCTTCGATATAATGGTACTCTAAGATATAATAGCTCGGATTTGTTAATCGGTGTAACGAGTTCCAATTTCAGTTACGCGCAAAATGCCTTTTTGTAAAGGTATGATTCCACCTCTCGCCCCACACCTATTGGTTAACTATTAAGACCTGTATTACTAAATGGTCATTATCTAAATACAGTTCTTACAATCTAACTTTAATTTCCCGGTTTAAATTACCTGTAAATGATTGCTAAGCCGTAAAATATGAATCAATGAATTTCATTTAATTTTTAATCAGGCTTACCTTTTTACGTTAATGCTGTACATTATTTTTGTCCATTTTCTTCGTTTGTTTTTTCTTACTTTTTTCTTTCTTTCTTTTATGTGTTAATTCATGCTTTTACCTTCCTTGAATTCATTCTTTCCTTTTTCTTCGCTGATGTAATGAATATGCCCCTCACAGAAATATGACTCTCTCGTGTCAGCCATAAATACATGCTGATATAGAGGAACGGACATCGCCCATTCGACTACGCCATTGTCTATCCTATTGGTCTACCCCTATTGCCTACACCTATTGACTGCGACTAAGGCGAGTACTAGTACCATTACTGCTACCTGCTAGATTGTTCTACTCGGTTACAGTAGCCTAAACCACTTAGCTACTTCGATTAAATATATCCCTTTTCCGGGACATATCATTAGAATTGCGCTCATTCATTCATTTTTATTTTTCCTTCCTTTCATCCCTCTTCAAATTAGTTCATTCATTTTGTCTTTGTGTCTTCATTTGCATTCATTTATTATTCTTTTCTAGGCGTCCATTCATTCTTTTATACATTACTTCTTTCTTATTTCTTTATTCGTGTTCATTCATTCATTCTGTTTTGCGTAGCGTATATTCTTTCTTTTAATCATTTTTGTTCACTTTTCTTTGATTCTGTGTTCGTCTTCATGTATTTATCTATCTTTTTTTGTTCTTTCTTTTCTTCGTGTTCATTCGTTATGCTCTTCCCTTCATTAATTGTCTTCTTTCTTTCTTTCCTTGTTTCTTCGCGTATATTCATACTTTCCGTGTTTCTTTTCATTCACCCTTTCTTTCTTTGCGTTCATTCATTATTTCTTTCTTTATTTTTTCGTGTTCATTTCGTAATTCTTTTATTTATTGGTGTTTTTATTACTTCATTCATCATTTTCATTCCTTTCCTGTTTATTTCTTTCTTTTTCTTTCTTTCTTTTTACGCGTTCACTCATATTTTTTTCTTTCTTTTAACGCGTTCAATCATATTTTCTTTCTTTCTTTCTTTCTTCCTTTCTTTCTCCGCGTTGTATGATATTTTCTTTCTTTCTTTGCCTTCATTCAATCACTAATTCTTTATTTTGGGACATTTAATTAGAAATGTATTTATTGATGTTTTAACTTCTGAATAATCCTGATTCATTGAAACATGAACTTGAGAAAATTTTCTATCGAAACTGTTCTTCCTTTACCTAATAAGCCGTTGAAAAGGTCTCTCTCCGACCGAGAAGTCCCTCAAAAATGAAATAATAATAATAATAATAATAATAATAATAATAATAATAATAATGAAAATAATAAAACAAACTAATGGTTAACCGTTCTATCTGATTCTGGGAAGAGTGTAGGGCCGAAAACATTTCATAACGCTCTCGCCCTAAGTCAGTTCAAAACGAGGCTATATTTTTAGACCATTCAACTGACGATCAATCTGATTCGTTGACCAGCAAACTCGACGCAGATTTAACTTTTTATGACATAACAAAAATGATGTGTCAGATTCCATTAATTTCTCAGCTGAATTTGAAGACTTTGGAGCAAATTCACTTGGGAGGAACAAGCAGAAATTATGGCTAATCTTGGCTAGAACTACCGTATTCCGCTTGGAGGTTAAGGTAAAAAAGAAAAAAAAATCTAGAAGGGTCCTATGTAGTGCTAAGCTATAAAATGATTAAATACCATTTAGGAATAAATAGAAATCGAGGAAGAGGAAAAAAGAGTCAAAATCATGTGAGGGTAAGGATTAGCGGTGTCAGTTGAAATAATGCCTGGAAGCGGATTTAGTGATGTCTTAGGCTTACGGATTGCAACATTCCAGAAAGAATGGATTAAAGTGTCAGGTTGATTTTTGAGGATTTAGAATTAGATCATGTTAATTTTTTTTTTTATTTTCATTTTTTTTTTATAATGGAGATAGGTATTAAAGAGGAATCAATTTGAGTAGAGTAAATTCGGGGTTTATGAAATTGAAAAAAAATGGGGAGCAGAAGAAATGAAAAGCAATAAATAATCGGGATAAATGGAGATGGATCTACAAGAAGGGGAAGAGAGAGGAAAGTAAAAAAAAAAAAAGGATTTTCTTATTGAAAATAAATGCCAGGAAGAATAAAACAATAATAACAAAAACAATAATAATAATATTAATAAGAATACTGAAAAGAAAAAATGGCCGACGGAAAAGGAAGAAAGAATTGAGGAATGAGAAGAATAATAAAGAGAAAGAAGAGACAAATGAAGAGGAGGACATTGATGATGAATAAAAAGAAAGAAATATGAAGAAGAAAAGAAGAACAATAAAGAGGAAGTAGAGGGAAATTGAAGAGAAAATCAAATGAATAGGAGAAGAAGAAGAAGAGAATAGAAGATGTTGATAATGATGTTGATGATAATGATGATGATGATGTGCATTAATAATAATAATAATAATAATAATAATAGCAACGAAGATGTAGAGGAAAGAATAAAGAAGAAAAAGAAAACGACTTATGACGAAGAATAGGTGTAACTAGAAGACGTTTAGTCTGGTTTGTTTAACGGCATATCAATTCCTTATGGGTCATTTAATGCTGAAATTTAATTTCCTTGGGAGCGTTGGTATGTTTTTTCAAAAAATGTATTGCTGGTAATTTTCTATTCCTTTTACAATACTGTATTGTTGATATATATATATATATATATATATATATATATATATATATATATATATATATATATATATATTAGGTTTGGAAGTAAAGTATGATGATCCACAGTCCTTTAAAAGGGCTGTGAAATATTTTATTACCTGCAAACTTAAAGTGGTCTCTTTTTATTCAAATTATTTGCTCTGGATTTACATTGAGCTCTCTGGATTTTATTCTCCTTAGGTTTACCCATACGCATTACCTAGTTTTAAATAAAAATATATATATATATATATATATATATATATATATATATATATATATATATGTATAGACCTATATCAGACTTACAAATTCAAAAAGAAAACTGTTTTTTTTTTAATTTGTAGGTCTGATGAATTGCATCGTATTTACGATTCCAATGGAATAAATGATGACCATGGAATATTAGTGTTTAAGCCTTTTTAGTATATCCTTACTCTGTCATGGACATTGAGTTCTACTTGGATTCTATCCCCTTGGAATTTCTTTTATACAAAATATATGTATGTGAATGCATGTATGTATATATATTAATATATTTTGCATATGTATGTGTATATTTACCACTAATATTATCTATCTATCTATCTATCTATCTATCTATATATCTATATATATATATATATATATATATATATATATGTATGTATATTTACTATGAAAATGTTTGGCTCTTATTCTTACTACAAAAATGTATTTTTATACTTTCATCATGTTTTGACCCAAGTTT